TTCTTATGTTACATTTATAAAGTATATGGGATACTAATTTATTAAATTTATACATTATATAATACTTTTTGTTTTCTAAAAAATATATTGATTTCAAATAACATATCTATTTACAGAAAAAAATCAATGTGAGTTATAAAGTTATACATATTTGGCGAATAAAGAATGGAACGTCTTATTGATTTAATAACGATGATTAGAACTTTAAAAGGAAAAATTGCAAACAAAATTTCACAAAAAATAATCAAACATGCAACATGTATGATCTTTCGATGTTTTAACAACTTTAATCTAACTACAATCAATATACTCACAATATGATATCAGCTTCACTCTTTCAAGATTCATATGTAATGTTAAAATCTATTTGGTAAATTTCAAAGTCTATTGTGTTAAAATTTATAATGTTGTGGTAAATTCTTCTACAATTGAAATGTTGCTAAATATATCAATTTCTCTTTGGGAATAATGGGGAGATCCTTGTGCATAATGCATCGTTCCGTTTAACTTGATTAGTTTTGGTTAAGACTAAAGAGAGTTTCACTGATTCTAGCGATTTTTATTGTTGCGTAAGCATCCTAATCCTCTTTTTGCTTATATGTGATGTTTGAAACTCGTTAAGAAGTTGGCTTATGAAATCTTTATTTTTTGCTTTCAAAAAAGTGTGAAATATGAAGAGATAAGGCCTCCTAAAGTGGAAGATTTTTGTTACATCACAGATAATACATACACGAAACAATAAGTAGTGAAGATGGAGGCAAATATACTTCATGCTCTGGAGTTCGAGTTAGGAAGTCCAACGATCAGAACATTCTTATGGTTCAGTTTTTATGAAGCAATCTGGTGTTTATATTTACTTTAGTTTTTAATGGCTTTTACTTGTCCCGAGGTTGATTGTTTTGCTATTTGTATGTTGGGTCTATGTAGACGGTTCACACAGGTTGCGGAAGAAGATTTTGAATTAAGCTTAAACCAATTTATCTTTCTACACATCTAAACTGTGGCATTTGCATCTTATACATATTGTGTATATATCTTGTCAATAGCTAAATCGTCTTTTTCCATGCCTTGTTTGCAGGATTCACATTTGAATATAGAGTTCCTCAGTTGCTATCCATCATAATTTTTTCCATGCCTTGTTTGAAGGATTCACATTTGAAGATAGAGTTCCTCAGTTGCTATCTATCAGAATTGAGTCTGTGAGATTATAGTTGTGTGAAGTTTTTGCCATCTCTGTTGGCAACTTTCGCTATCTTCCTTGCCGGATTCATTTGGTACAGTTCGAGCGCGTTGCGCCCACACATGTTTCTCCTAGAGATCATATAGTTCGAACCCGGAGCAAAAGACTTGCTTTCTCACTAGTATATGAATCTGCAGACCGACAAATTCTGTGAGATGAGACACGAGAGACACAAGACGCTTCTTTCCAATGTACAAACTTGCAAAGTAGTTATATGATCATTGTTAGTTTTGCATGTGGCTATGGTTCTCATTTACTTTTCTTGTTATATGATGACCTCTGCATTATGAACATGAATGTATGGTATCAATGTTTGATTATGGACATTATTTGAAGCTGAAAAAGTCAAAATCTTTAAGCCAGAGAGTATGATTATAGGATTAATGATTCCAAGAGAGTTAAGACGCATCTTAATGCAAGGGCAAGGCTACTAAAACGAAACCGACAACCATTATGCATATGATGAACAAAAAGAAGGCATGTATCATGACAATTTAACAAAATAGATTGGAAGAAGGTTACTTGATCAAATCTAAGAAAGCTGAATACAACAAGAAGCAAAAGAAAATCAGCGTAGAAGTACAAATAGTAATCTCTTTTGTGTCTCATGGTAATAATTTTTTTTTTGTGTCTCAAGTGGTAATCTATTTTTTATTTTTGACTATTCACATATTTATCTTCAGTAATACATTTGAAAATAGTGTTAGTTTTAAGGTTTATACATATGATGTTTTCGTACGGAGATGGTTCGATGAATTATCTTTCAACTATTTCACTTATCAACTTTACCATTTTTACCCTCAAATCGATAGTCATATTGAAAAACATGACATATGAATATTTTGTTTCGTATATCACTTAATTGTGTAACTAACTAAAGCTTGAAGCTTTATTATAAAGTTTATGATGTCAAACCATGTATGAGTTATAAGATTATACATACTGGCGAATGAAGAATGAAACATCTTAATCATTAATTAAAATGATTAGATATTTAAAGGGCAAAGATGCAGACATAACTTCATAGTTTAAACTCATAAACATATACTCTAATGACGAAATAATCAACTTAGCTGAATTCTAGATAATAAATTGATGCACAAATCTTCTCGCTTATTTGTTTAAAGATCACTCCATCTCTAAGAAAATTAGATTTTTCATTTGGACATGCAATTGCAGGAATGATGCCTCAATTATCTGTACTAACTTAATATCATTTTTAGTTACTTTTAATTTTAATCATCAAACAATGGGCTGATGAATTAAGAAACAAAGTTAGTTGAGAAGAAAATCTCTCGGTTCAGATATACCATGGTTCTAATAGAAGAAAAGATTCTCACGAGCTAGCTAAATATGATATTGTTATTACCTCATATGGCATTTTGATGCTTCCTCTCGTTAAAGTTGCATTGTTTAGAGTGGTTTTATCATACCACTAAAAATCACAAAAGCCAAAATGCAGTGGCATGTTATGGTATTTATGCTAGTGTAGCTGGTGTTTATCGGTCATCTAATTAGTTTTTTCAATATTTCTCTTTTAATATATACAAGATATATAACATTAATGTTGTAACATTTTGATCCACTTATACCAATTCAATAAATTCACCACGTATATTTTGTTATTTAAAAAGATTCAATATTTTGACGCAAAATCACCAGTTAATTCGACCAAAGTTCAAATCGGGCACATTGTCTGTGTGCCATGAGAATTACTTAAAAACTGCTTTACAATGTATACATAGTAGTTTTTGTTTTAGTTATTCAAATATTGTGTATGTTTAAATAAAGTAATAATATAAAATCTCATATCATAATCTTTAAAAATACACTTCATGATTCAAATATACTAAAATCTAATATCATAATCTTTAAAAATACACTTCATGAACTATTGTTTATTTTATAATTTGTGTCATCTGTTTGGTAATTATGATTATAGTACTAATTTACCGTTGACATAATGTTTGGACACTGAAACAAGAGCATTTTATAGC